AAGGGAAGGGAAGGGAAGGGAAGGGAAGGGAAGGGAAGGGAAGGGAAGGGAAGGGAAGGGAAGGGAGAATGAGCCTGTCGCCTGCATGTGGCTTTGCTCTTTGGACAGAGCATGGATGGCTGTTGTGAAGCCTGGGAAGTGCTGGTCCCCTGTGGCACATCCAGAGTGTGCTAGAGGTGGTGAAACCAGTGGAGATGGGTCTCTTAATGGTCCCTGTCAATTTTACTACCATGAAATGGGTATAGTGATGCCACATGCTGTGTCGAGGATGAGGTCTGCTTCAGGAAGCTTTCTGACACCATGACAGGACCACAAGGGAAGAGTTCCTGAGAAAAACATCAGCGCTGACTGCAGCACTGCAAGTACAGCAGTGATGGCTGCTGGAAGCCACAGCACACGGAAGGCAGAAAACAACAAAAAAATAAGGATGATTCCCTGAACAAAGAGGTAACTCTTTGGAAAACCACCATGAGATCCTACAAATAAAGACAGCATGTGCCAGTCCCAGCTTCTAGCTGAGAGCTGTGTGTTGCACCACTGAGGAGCCCTGAAGCTACCTTCAACAGGATTCAGTGAGATCAGTGAGCACTTGCCTGCTTAAACTTCACTTTGTGTTTGAGAAGTTCAAGATCTGAGGCTACTTGTGTTTAGTGTTTATTTGCACCTAGCTTGATCTTGTTTCTAAAGTCCCACAGCTCATTCTGTGTGATGGTCCAGCATTTCAGGTACGCAGTTATACCCCTTGTCAGGAAAAGAATAGCTGAGGAGTAGGTGCATACTGGTCTAAAGGCACGAGCAAAAATTATTCCTCTTAGGCTCCTCTGTGAAATGCTTGCTGTGCCTGGGCCATATACTAACTCACTGCAAGTTTGAAGTAAGTCCATCAAACTTGATAGTTTTGGTAATTCTCCTTTGTTCAAAAAAACCCCTGGTTATCCTATCTGCCTTAACATGAAATGAAAGAAGAGGGTGGTTATAAGCAGCTCATCATCAGCTGTGATAGATAAGAGACTGTAAATCTGTGATTTAAATTGGTCTGTGTGGGATTTTGTGGTATCTGAGTTAGGTAAACAACATTTCCAGGGCCTTAGGGGTGTTTACATGTAGAGCAAAGATGACTATAGTGGCAAACAGGGAGAGCTTTTCCTTAGAAGTGCTAGGCAGTGGCAAGCATATCTTTCCCACCACAAGGTACTTTGTTCAGCATGTTGTCTTTCTGTCACTGCCTTCTCTTTCCTAAGGGAGAACAGTGGCTGGACTAGAAAATCAGTGCAATGTTTGCTCCCCTCAATGGCCACCAGACTTCTGCTGTGGCTGTGCAAACAGCACTAAAGGAGCGGGTGAGTTTCCAGTATTTATGTGCTAATTCTTGAGGCAGCGAAGACTTCTTTTCCCTTAAAATAGTAGATGTGTGTTTGAAGACCAGAGTGCTAATGACAACCCAGACTTTGAAAAGGACAGATGTGCAGGGTTAGCTGCTCTTTTTGAGTAGCAGAAAAAGGTTTAGCCTTTCAGCAGCTCATATCAGGTGGTGTGAGAAGACCAGGGGGTGAAGTGGCACATTTACAGCCCTGTGGTTCAGATGCTGAGGGAGGTTTTTTGCCTTGAAGATCTTTGAGGTTCTATCACAGTGAGCATCCCAGTAGGCACAGTAGTAAGTAGCAGCATCGTCTGGAATTACATCTTTTATTGTAAGAACACACCGTCTCTGGCCAGAAGTGCTTTCAACCATGTACCTGCTCGCTTGAAAGCCACTTTCAACTGTAGTTTTCCCTGCTGAGAAGAACAGGATTCTCTGTGGAGCTTTACCTTCCTTCTGTTGATACCAGTGTATGACGGTGCTA